GCCGAGATCGCGCCATTGCACTCCAGCCTGGGTAACAAGTGCGAAACTCCGTCCCAAAAAAAAAAAAAAGAACTGAGTCAGATTCTGATTTGTTTAATGGACTCAGTCGTGATGTGTTGCCTGTCTGCTCCAAGTTCCCCTGTTCCAGACACGTCTGCTGCAGCATTACAAGGATCCACATGCCCTTGGAATAGCAACTTTCCATCACCTGCCTCATCAGAGCAAATAGAAGTGTAAGTGGCAATGACGTTAGTGTTTCTGTGTGTGAAAACCTAGTGTGAATTTTCCCGTCTCCAGCAAAAGTTCACAAGCCATCATTATAGAAAAGCACAAGAAAAAACTGCTTGTTCTGCTTTTAGTGACCTAAAAAGAGTTGTTAAAACTTTTTTAAAAAAAAAAAAAAAAAAAAAAAAAGAGGGTCTTGCTATGCTGCCCAAGCAGGTCTCCACCTCCAGGCCTCAAGCAGAGCCGGGACTACAGGCACACCATCACACCAAGCAAAACTGTCTTTTGATTTAAAATTACTTAAATACTTCTTTAAGTGTCTCTTAGTGTTGCTTATCTTCCAGTTATCTAAATCACGAGGTTTTTTTTCCTTCAAAGACCCCCGCCCCAAAATAACATCCTTTGCAACTACAGGCGGGTACTGCCCTCTAGTGTTTACACTTTTATAATAAAACTTTTACACACTACCCTTTTATCTGACCTCAAAGCATGGAAAATTTGTAAAAAATTAAATAATATCCTATTAACCCAAAATATTTCACCTTCACACTACTGGCATTCTGATCACCCTTGTTGTAGGGTTGGCTTGTGCACTGTGGGACATTTGGCAGCACCCTGGCATCTACCCACTTGATGCAGTAGCACTCCCACACACACACCCCAGTGTGACAACCAAAAATATCTCCTGACACAGCTAAATGTCCCCAGGGAACAAAATCACCCCTGGTTGAGATCCACTGTATTAGCCTAAAGGTTGTCCAGAACATTCTCATTAGACCTGAAAATTTTTTTTTTTTTTTTTGAGACAGAGTTTCGCTCTTGTTACCCAGGCTGGAGTGCAATGACGTGATCTTGGCTCACCGCAACCTCCGCCTCCTGGGTTCAGGCAATTCTCCTGCCTCAGCCTCCTTAGACCCGAAAATTATAAGGAAAAAGGGGCTTCTCTGTGCTAATTCCTTTGAGTGAGATAAAGAATTTCATTTATGCATGAAAAACAAGGAGTCACATAAAGAATTAAGATTTTCAGCTCCCCACCTCCATGTACCCGCAAAGTCCTTGGGACATTTTTTACGCCTTTAGCTTTCTGTTCCAGCTTTACCTCTTAGACCTCTTCACTTCCTTTCAAAGCACATCGCAAACAAAGCTTGCCCTTCTAGCCGAATGCAGAGAATGTGGTAGGGAAAAGGATGAAGGGAGTCTGAACGTTTGTACTAAAAAAAAAAGGTTCAGCTGGGTGCAGTGGCTCATGCCTGTAATCTCAGCTCTTTGGACGGCCAAGGTGGGTGGATGACTTGACGTCAGGAGTTCAAGACCAGCCTTGGCAATATGGCAAAACCCCGTCTCTATTAAACATACAAAAATTAGCCAGGTGCAGTGGCAGGTGCCTGTAGTCACAGCTATTCTGGAGGCTGAGGCACGAGAATCCCTTGAGCCTGGGAGGCAGGGAGGTTGCAGTGAGCCGAGATCACCCCACTGCACTCCAACCTGGGCAACAGAGCAAGGCTCTCTCTTTAAAAAAAAAGGGGAGGAGGGGGTTCTAGCAAAGCATTAAGGCTCAGCATCAATAATGCAGCCAACCAGGAACCTGTATTGATTGTCAGCTTAATATGAAAATTCTTATAAAATATCAAAAGAAGTTTCAAATCTGGCTTTTAGAAAGATATTCAAGAGGGTTTATTCCAATCTGCTATGAATGATTTTTCCTCATACAAACATATTATGCTTATAAACCTTGGTTCTGTGAATTTTAACACCTGCAAATTACCGAGAGCTTGATATTTAAAAAGTGAAAAAGGAGTTTGGACTATCGCTGATGACTTCCTCCCCTCATCAAATTTCTCACTGACTTAGTTGATGTCACTAAAGAACTAAACAAACAATAAGAATAATAGGGCTGGGTGCAGTGGCTCATGCCTGTAATCCCAGCAGATTGGGAGGCTGAGACAGGTGGATTACTTAAGGGCAGAAGTTCGAGACCAGCCTGGCCAACATAGTGAGACTCCATCTCTACTAAAAATACAAAAAATTAGCCAGATTTGGTGCATGCCTGTAATCCCAGTTTCTCAGGAGGCTGAGGCACGAGAATTGCTTCAGTTGGGGAGGCAGAGGTTTCAGTGAGCAACCTATCTCAAAAAAATTATAATAAATTTTTTTTAATTATTATTATTTTTTGAGACAGAGTCTTGCTCTGTCGCCCAGGCTGGAGTGCAGTGGCACAGATCTCTGCTCATTGCAACCTCCCTGCCTCCCAGGCTCAAGTGATTCTCATGCCTCAGCCTCCAGAGTAACTGGGACTACAAGCCTGCACCACCACGCCTGCCCAATTTTTGTAATTTTAGTAGAGACAGGGTTTCACCATGTTGCCTAGGCTGATCTTGAACTCCAGAGCTCAAGTGATTCACCCTCCTCGGCCTCCCAAAGTGCTGTGCTGGTATTACAGGCATTAGCCAGCACACATGGCCTAAACACATTTATATAATTAAAAATATACTACTCTTTATTAACACTTTCAAACCTAATTTTTTTTTTTTATTTAGTGAAATTGAAAGTCTTACAGCTCTGCAATTGTCAAGCTCTTATTAGCACACCCTTGAAATGGAAATCTATTTTAGCTACTGTGATGGTTAATACTGAGTGTCAACTTAATTGGATTGAAGGATGCAAAGTATTGATCCCGGGTGTGTTTCTGAGCGTGTTGCCAAAAGAGATTAACATCTGAGTCAGTGGGCTGGGAAAGGCAGACCTACCCTTAATCTGGGTGGGTACAGTCTAATCAGTTCGTTCCTACAGAAGGAACGCAGCCCAGTGGACACCTTGATATTAGCACCATAGATCCATTTCCATCATCTAACCTCCAAAACTGTAAGAAAATTAATTTGTGTTAAGTGGCTACATTTGTGGTAATTTGTTATAGCAACAATAGGACACTAATACAGGAGCATCTTTTTTTTTTTTTTTTTGAGATGGAGTTTTGCTCTTGTTGCCCAGGCTGGAGTGCAATGGCGTGATCTCGGCTCACCGCAACCTCCGCCTCCTGGGTTCAAGCAATTCTCCTGCCTCAGCCTTCCGAGTAGCTGGGACCACAGGCAGGTGCCACCATTCCCAGCAAATTTTTGTATTTTTAGTAGAGATGGGGTTTCACTGTGTTGACCAGGATGGTCTCGATCTCTTGACCTCGTGATCCACCCGCCTCGGCCTCCCAAAGTGCTGGGATTATAGGTGTGAGCCACTGCACCTGGCCCAGGAGCAACTTATTAGTCTTTTAGAACTCTGGCTACCCAGTTCCGTCAGAATTTTGGCATTTAAATAATTATATCTCAAGTTATCACATTGGCTAAAAAACTATATGCACTCTTTTTATAGTTGCTAATAACAATATTATTGCTTAAATATACTTGCTATTTACCTTTAAGTGAATAATGTATTCCAAAATTAAAATCCAGAGGCAAATATGCACACAATAAGGAGCACCACTCTAGCAATGCAAAACACATTTCGTAGCCATGACACATGCATTTAAATATGTGGTAAATTCTAAGCAGCTACCTATCAAATCTCAAGTAATAAAGTCCAGCAGCCCAACCACACTGGCTGTCAAACAAGCTGAAATTTGATTCAGAAAATAGAATCTGATTCAGAAGACAAAAATGGTAGCATTAACAATGTTACTTTGATGTGACCCTCTAGCAGAAAGCTGACCTTTTCAACAGTTGTTACAAAAAAAAAAACACAAGGTATGGCTGGGCACCGTGGCTCATGCCTGCAATCCCAGCACTTTGGGAGACCAAGGCAGGTGGATCACCTGAGGTCAGGAGTTTGAGACCACCCCGACCAACATGGAGAAACCCTGTCTCTACTAAAAATACAAAATTAGCCAGGCATGGTGGCACATGCCTGTAACCCCAGCTGCTTGGGAGGCTGAGGCAGGGGAATGGCTTGAACCTGGGAGGCAGAGGTTGCAGTGAGCTGAGATCACGCCATTGCACTCCAGCTTGGGCAACAAGAGTGGAACTCCATCTAAACACACACACACACACACACACACACACACACACACACACACAAAACAAGGTATGTCTGTAGGAGAGAGCTGAGCTTGATAAATGAAGAAAACAGGCCTATCTCCATAATGTAAAGAGAAATGGGTGACAATTTAGTCTCATTCTGTTCCACTATTGTTTTAATAGTGGAAGCTGCCACTGTGAAATCTGGCTGCGTGGCACCTGCTAGGCCTCGTTCTCATCTCGCAGTTCCCAGAATTCCTCTTGATTGCAGCAGCCATACACTTTTCATTTTCCCGGTGAGGTATTATTTGAACACTCTTAAGGAATCCTTTTCTTTTTTTCTCCATGAGATGTAGTCTCATTCTGTTGCCCAGGCTGGAGTTCAGTGGCACGATTTGGCTCACTGCAACCTCCATATCCTGGGTTCAAGCGATTCTCCTGCCTCAGCCCCCCGAGTGGCTAGGACTATAGGCATGCGCCACCACACCCAGCTAATTTTTGTATTTTTAGTAGAGGCAGGGTTCCACCATGTTTGCCAGGCTGGTCTCAAACTCCTGACTTCAAATGATCCTTCTGCCTCTGCCTCCCCAACTGCTGGGATTACAGGCATGAGCCACTGCACCTGGCCCTCTTAAGGAATCCTAATTGCAACTTTTAAGGCTTTTAATTCTTCCAAATAACTAAAGCAGTAACACATATTCTAAAAAGAAAACTTTTCTTCCTTTGCAAATACATTGACAAATTTGGAAAAGATAAAATTTGGAAAACATAATGTTCATTATTCTTGTGGTCATGACTCTTGAAACTTTATGCAGATAACTCTGTACCCAGACTAGTTCCTCATCTTTCCCAAAGTGCTTAAGAAAAACAAGAACGTTTAATCCAGATGCTGTTTTCTAAATTGGCCAAAATATGTTATTCCTTGATTTGAAATGCAAGAAATTATTTTAGTTTAGCACTTACATCTTAAGAAAGTAAGCTTCAGAAATTCTCCTGTTTCATCTCTTCCTGTCGTGTGTCAATATCATTTGGTCTTTGGCTTCATTTAGGACGTGAGTTCATTTCTTCTTAGCCCTAACTAATGGTCATGTAGAAGACTGACTTTTCGAATAGTGTGTTCACGGTGAGTTCATTACAAAACGTTTTCTTTATTTTCAGCTGCCATCAATGTGGGCATCAAGATGTCCTTCTACTAAGCAGTTGAATCTGAAGTGGTAACATGGATTATATATGTATAGTAACTTGGAGATTTTACTGTATTTCTCTTATGTGTTTCTCCCTCCTCGATGTGCTACTAAACTGTCTCTGGAGAATTGTATGCTTTAAGTTAAACATCAAGTACAGTGTAGATTGAGGGGATAATATCAAGGAAAGTAAATTCTAGCCATTTTTAAGCTATACTTAAGATCTTTCCCTCTTATATTTCTGTGATGAGACAGCTAATCACAACTAAGCAGGTTATAAAGACCTAAACCGACACTGTACACAAGACAACACTACAAAAGGTAGAAGACACAGAGACAGTTCCTACCCTCCACAGAATTTTCCCGGGAGGAGCACTGCCTTTCAGTTTTCTCTTTTGTGGGAACAGAAAGAATAACGGTAAGAGGCTGAGCAGCGGCTGCATCATGAGGGAACTCTAGACAAGCAACCCATGGATATGCAAGAGAAAGACTGTCTCCAGGGGTCCATGAAAGAGACTGCCTGAAGATGGGTGGGATCTGGATGAGATGGAAAACACTCCAGGCAGAGGGAAAAGTGTGAGCAGAGACAGAGAGATCTGTGTATTCGTTTCCTGGGGCTGCTGGAACGAAGTATCACAAACTGGGTGGCTTAAAGCAGCAGAAATCTCTCACAGTTCTGAAGGTCAGAAGTCTGAGATTGAGTTGTGGGCAGGGCCATACTTTCTCTGAAGGCTCTAAGAGAGGATTTTCCTTGACTTGTCCTAGCTTCTGGTTGTTGCAGACAATTCTTGTCATTCTTCAGTTTGTAGACACATCACTCCAATCCCTGCCTCTACCATGATATGGTGTTTTCTTTGTATGTCTCTCTGTTCATGTTCCCCCCACTGCTCTGTGTCTGTATCTCCTCCTCTTATAAATACACAGCTCATATTGGATTAGGGCCCATCCACCCACTACAACTTCATCTTAACTCCATCTGCGATGACTCTGTCTCAAAATAAGGTCACATTTATAGGTAGGCATTAGAACTTGAACATATCTTTTTGGAGGACACAATTCAACCCACAACATATGGTCATGAGAAGTTCAATGTGGTTACAAAGTACAGTGTATCTAGGGAAAGAGTGGAAGTAATACAGGAAAAGGGGGCTGGAGTGTAGAGAATCTTAATGAATAAGCAATGAGGGTGCACAGAATATTTTTAAGTAAAAGAAAATATTACTGGCCAGGTGTGGTGGCTCACGCCAGTAATCCCAGCACTTTGGGAGGCCAAGGTGGGTGGATCCCTTGAGTTCAGGAGTTCGAGACCAGCCCGGGTTACATGGCAAAACCTCATCTCTACTAAAACTACAAAAATTAGCTGGGCATGATGGAGCATGCCTGTGATTCCAGCTTCTTGGGGGAGTTGAGGTGGGAGGCTCGCTTGAGCCTGGGAGGCAGAGATTGCAATAAGCTGAGATTGCCCCACTGCACACCAGCCTGGGCGAAAGACTGAGACACCTTAAAAAAAAAAAAAAAAAAAAAAAAAAGGAGTATTACTAATAAAGTTGTCAATTTGGAAAAATTGATTTGTCATTATTATTTAAAATTCATTATAGTAGAAAAAGAGAAAAGAATAGGAAAAGTCAGAGAGCTACTTCAGGAATAGAGGGGGTTTGTGATTCATCAAATAAAATAGTCTATAGATCTATAAAGAATGGGGCAAACAAGAAAGCCTGTTTATAAGAGATGAAGTCTGACTGAAGCTGGGGACTAGGAGAATAGTCTTAGAGTTATTACCATTGTTACATTAATCAAACTGCATTCTAACACCAATTCTCGGGCATCAACTGGGTATTCTACAATTCAATTCTGATACTAACTACTGAGAAATAAAAATAAAATCCTAAGCACCCCCAACTAAATGATGGACCCCTTCTTGGTCAAAGAACCCAAGAGAAGCCTTAGAAACTGAGTTCTTGGTCATGATGGGACAGGTTAGACACGCCTTGTTATATCCCCTTCCTCCCCAACTGGCTTTCTTTCCTAAGAGTTAAAGAGAAACCAGCCCTTTTATTTATTTATTTATTTTTGAGACAGGGCCGTGCTCTGTCACCCAGGCTGGCGTACAATGGTGCAGACACGGCCCCACTGCAGCCCTGACCTCCTGAGCCCGTAGAATCCTCTAGCCTCAGTCCCTCAAGTAGCTGTGACGCCAGGCTAATGTTTGTATTTTTGTAGAGATGGGGTTTCTCCATGTTGCCCAGGCTGTTCTTGAACTGAGCTCAGGCAATATGCCCCATCTCCTAAAGTGCTGGGATGACAAGCATGAGCCACTGTGCCTGGCTGTAATCAGCCCTTCCAAAAGACTTGCTCCACTGCTGATTTACACAACTGACCAGCAGTCCTTCCTGATAAGAGACCGCTGACCAGGGCCTAGTTCTGGCCAGTTTACAGAGGCTGTGCACAGGATGCCTCTACTCCTCCGTTTCACCTTCTGACATATACAGCCTAATTTTAACACATTTAAGTATTAAGTCGCCAGCCAAAGTAAACATGTGACATATGTAACATGCATGTTGGCTTACTAGCATGTGCCCCCACTTTATGAATATTCACAGCTCCCCTTATAACCTGTTGACTGTATACATAGCCAACCCATTCAGCATAAATTCCTGCCTCACCCTCTCAAAGTGCCTGCTTTCAGTTTCTACCAGAGGCTACACTTCCCAGCCTGCAGGCTACAATCCTTTATAAAAAAGAAAACTCTTGTTTCCAAATTTATGAACCTTAAGTGCAGAACCCACAGGTTAATTGCATCTTGGGTGTCTAAAACCACCCAAACTTCTGCCCAACCAACTATAAATTCGGGGCTCAGGTTCAACAGTTTGCTAGAACAATGCAGAACCCACTGTTCTAGGTAAATAATACAACTGTCATTTAACATCACATTTGTCTCATAAAGAATACAATTCACACGGTGCGGTGGTTCATGCCTGTAATCTCAACATTTTGGGAGGCCAAAGCAGGAGGATTGCTTGAGCCCAGGAGATTGATTCTAGCCTGGGAAACATAGCAAGACCCAGCTCTACAAAAAATTTTAAATATTACCTGGATGTCGTGGTGCAAGACTGGGTTCCTAGCTACTCAGACAGAGGCTGAGGTGAAAGAATCACTTGAGCCCAAGAAGCCAAGGCTGCAGTGAGCCATGTTTGAGACACTGTACTCCAGCCTGGATAACAGACCTGAATGACAATTTTCTTTGCCTCAAAAAATAATAATAATAATACAATTCAATAAAACAAAAAACAGCCAGGCATGGTGATGTATACCTGTAGTCCCAACTACTTGAGAGGCCTAAGGCAGAAGGACTTCTTGAGCCCAGGAGCTTGAGGCTACAGTGAGCTATGATTTGATTGCACCACTGTACTCCAGCCTGGGTGGCAGAATGAGAACAAAAAAAAAAAAAAAAAAAAAAAAGGCCGGGCGCAGTGGCTCACATCTGTAATCCCAGCACTTTGGGAGGCTGAGGTGGGCAGATCACCTGAGGTCAGGAGTTCAAGACCAGCCTGGCAAACATGGTGAAACCCCATCTCTACTAAAAAAAAAAAGAAAAATACAACAAAATTAGCCAGACATGGTGGCACGTGCCTGTAATCCCAGCTACT